TTCTGTCTCTTCATGAATGGAGATGTATGATAACTCATGAATGGTCCTGGTCTCTCTCTCTCTTCTCAGTGGTGAAAATAAACACTCCCTTGTACTTGTGTTCACTGCATGCTCATGCATTGCATTTGTAAACATTTGTATACATTTACAGTGTAAATTATGTAGCTATATGTATTTTCTAAACAGCAGTTCTATTTGGATTGCTGTTGTATATTTAGTTCTATTTTAGTTCTTCTGAGTCAGTTTTCTAAATGATTTTCATATGGCTTTGCTGTTTATACGTAACCTAAGATCTTGACATATTTGAGTATATGAATTTCTTTTTCTTTTTCAATGCAAAAGTTATTAGAATGAAACAACAGGAAACTAACCCTTTATTCATAGAGCAAAGTATGCACAGGCAGCAGCTGGGAGGTTCACTCTCATTCAAGGTATTCATCCCCATTCAGTCGTGGGCTTTTCTGCTGAGACCCGGACTCGGACCAGCGCAAACCATTAGGCGACCTAGGCGGTCGCCTAGGGCGCTAACATTTGGGGGGCGGTGACCGCGGTGGCTGGATCTTCGGCCGCCCCGGTCGTCATCGGTATTTCGGGGGCGGGACCTTCCGCCACCTCTGTCAGGGGCGGCATTTCGGGGGTGGGCCCTTCCGCCGCCTAGGGCGGCAAAAAAGCTGGCGGCACTCCTGGCTGAGACTGTCAGCAAGGGTGCAATTTAGTGCCATGATGGCAGTTTTGGGGATGAGGATTCCTCTCTATTAACAACTGCAATCTCATCCCATGAGAGATTTTGACATATCTGCATAGGTAGTTGAATAACAGTCATTATTGACCTAGGTTTGGTTTGAACCAGTGACTTTAGAGGTGAAAGTCTGTGTGTAATCTGTTACCAAACGCTTGAGCCAGTCCCTACTGCAGTAATTTTTGAATGTCTTGAAATATACATCATTTTTTTCAACTGACTATTATCATTAGCATTTTTTTCATCCCAAACAAGGTGTGATACCGGAAGGCTTCAGGATGACAAAGCAGGTTGGGTTTTTTTTGCTCACGATGATGTCTAGCACACATTGACTAGTAAATCAGTTTGTGAGGACATACTAATTTTTGACAGAGTTCTATTAATACACCTTGAAGCTAAATGTGTTCTGTGAATCCCCAGTTCCAAGCTGTAGAATTCTGCCATAACTAGAAGAAAATATCTTGCTCTAGGTAGATTAATGTTGAAAGCCTGTCAAAAAAAATTTAACATTGAAAAGCAATTCATCTCTTCCTGTCATTTTTTCAGTATCTAGTCTAAACACCATTTGTAGTCAGTAGGAAAAATCCCAAAGAGATGCTATTTCCTTTGTTGTATTTCCTGATGTTAACAGGGATCCAGTTGAATATTTATATTTCCCTTTAAAAAGTACATCCCAATGACTGATCTTCAAGATGGTAATTCCTGTTCCCAGGAATCTGATAGATCTTCTAGAGTGCAGAAATTGCCACTGCTTACCAAACAACTTAATTTATGTCCCACGGAGACATTTAATTAAGGTAACTTGGCACTGTATATTAATAAATAATTAAAATGGGAACAAGAGAAGCTTTGAACAAACCATTTAGAAATGAATGACTGAACGCTAAAAATATGCCAGGTTTAAGGGAACATTGACTAGGTGGAGAGAATGAGACAGCTCCACAAGCCTAAATTGCTTGATTGGTGAATGCATTTGACAAGTCCATTTAGGTTCCCCAAAAGCCCAAGGTAGGTAGGTTGTTCTGCCTTGACTGCTTTACTACATATGGCAATTGGATAACTGAGAATATGGCCAGTCCTCAGAATTTCAGAGTATGCTCGGGAAGTCATTCCTGGCATTGTTCGGTGGGGCTAGATTCTTCCTGACTATGCAACAGGCTGCTCAGATCTTTTCTCTGTCCTGATACCTCTGAAAAGTGCTAAATTGGGGTATTGAAGGGCATCAGGGACTAATCAGAACAACACATCCAAAATCTAAGGCACCGCTCTATGCAGTCTTCAAGTACTGCCTAATAATTAAAGAGAGTATTAAGTGTGCCCTACATGGCAACATTCCCAAAGCTTCCCATGATGCTAGTGTGCCTCTTTGCTTGTTTTTGATGTGGGTTTGTTGTATTTATCCACATGTTTATAAAAATAGCCTCCTGTCCTTTGCTCTAGGACAGGGATAGGCAACCTTTGGCACGCGGCTCTCCAGGGTAAGCACCCTGGCGGGCCGGGCTGGTTTGTTTACCTGCTGCATCCGCAGGTTCGGCCGATCGCAGCTCCCACTGGCCATGTTTCGCTGCTCCAGGCCAATGGGGGCTGTGGGCAGGGCCGGCTCCAGGCACCAGCGCAGCAAGCAGGTGCTTGGGGCGGCCAAAGGAAAGGGGTGGCACGTCTGGCTCTTTGGCGGCAATTCAGTGGCGGGTCCCTCAGTCCCTCTCAGAGGGAAGAACCTGTCGCCGAATTGCTGCCAAGGAATGAAGTGGCGGCGGTAGAGCTGCCGCCGAAGTGCGACTGATCGCGGCTTTTTTTTTTTTCCCCACCGCTTGGGGTGGCAAAAACACTGGAGCCAGCTCTGGCTGTGGGAATCAGCGCAGGGTGAGGGTTGTGCTGGTCACCGCTTCCTGCCGCCCCCAATGGCCTGGAACGGTGAACCGCGGCCAGTGGGAGCCATGATCGGCCAAACCTGTGGACGTGGCAGGTAAACAAAGTGGCCCAGCCTGCCAGGGTGCTTATCCTGGTGGGTCGCATGCCAAAGGTTGCCGATCCCTGCTCTAAGAGCTCCACAACACATTTAAAATACAGTGATAAAAGGACTCCCCCAGGGACTCATTTTGCGCAGAAATTAATATATAATCATCACCTAGGAAGTGAAGACATAGTTAAGATTTTATGATCTTCCAGTAGAGTCCTCCCAGTCTCTCACAAATAGGGATTGGGAGGATGGAAAGAAAGGGTTATACTTGTTTTCTTCCTTTCTTTTTTCCCTTTTTCCCCTTATCGTTCTTCTTCAATTTTAGAAACAGTGGGTTGTTCCCAGGAAGATGCCATACAGGGGTAAGACTTTATGTTTAGGCCTAAATACAAGACTCAGCTCTTTGATAGTCACTCCTGGACTCAATCTGATGTCCTCTGTTAGAGTTTTAAAAATCTTAGAGCATTTTCAGCATTAGAGCCCTACGTATCAGAGTCTTATCTGGGAGCTAGTCTAGTGCAAGGGTCTTTCTGCATCATAGCTGCTTTAGAGGGTCATGAAAAGGTAGATTTTTGAGGTATCTTAGACCCAGCCAAGTGCCTTGTAGACTAGAATCTTAAATTCTGTCCAGGAAGGACTAGGCAGCCATTGGAGTTCCAAGCATTGGTGTGATGTGTTTACATCTGCCTTTGTTCACTAATAGGAGTGCTGCAGGGTACTGCACAAAGTGAAGCTTCTTCAGGGAAGTCATATTAATCTGCAGTAGTCTAACTGGGAGATGACAAACATCTGGATCACACACAATATTTGGGAGACTATTAAAGAGATATCAAAATATTTAGTAAAGGGTATTGTATCAACTACCCCCTATATTTATAATGCTGATTCCAGCTCCAGTTAAATTTTGAGCAAGAAATTGGTTCTCCTCTGAATCTTCCTCCTGGAGAGAGGTCTGTAAAAGTGAGTTATAAAATCTGTCCAACTACCATGAGCTGATAGAGAACAGAAATCATGTAAAGAAGCAAATGGAAAAAATTAGATTTTAGAGGAGCTTCCAAACAAAGCTTACCAAAGGGGTAATATTTTTTAACTGTCGGGCCAAATTCTACTGTCCATTATTGAGATTTGTGTGCAACTCTGAGATCGATGGAATTACTCTTGATTTACATGGATGTAACGGATAGCAAAATCTGCATCATTGTGTACAATTTCTGTGTTCACAAATGTAAAACTGCCTTAATAAGCCCATCTGCCTACCTACATGGCAACATGGTGAATTATTCAGGAATATGTGGCACAGTCAGAAAACAAATTTTACTGGTCTACAGATACATTGATTATGACATTGTCCATAGGTCTTCCATCACTCTGATCTGCTGGTTATCTGGGTAGTAGGTATCAAATTTTTACAATATGATCTGTCACATTGTGTTGGCTGTTTTACATCATGCCCTGTTGTAGCACATCAGTGTGTAATAGGGTCCACTATAACACAGAGTAAATGTGTATGTATGTGTGTATATTTATGCCTGCTAAAAGGAACATACTTTGAAGATATTGGTCATTCTAGATGTACAAGGATATACAAATCTTTGCTTTGTTTTACTTTTCAAAACTTGTAAGGAACTAATAGCTATAACTCTGGTTTGAGACAGTATGTGCCTATGCTACACTTGTGTTAGCTTCCCAGAAACTGCTGGTCTACAACAATCTTGTTGTTTCTGTCATGGCTAGAGGCTGACAATTATAGGCCTTCATCCTGTATTGGCTTCTTGGCATTGTTCCACCCATGTGGAACAATGAGCTCCTCAAGGTTCCACCCATGTGGAGCTCATTGCAATATTGAGTAAGTTGAATGAAATGACATGCGCAAACAGGGACTTAGATGAGACTGTGACATAATATCTGTTCACCTTAACAAACAAATTCTTATTTAGAGTGGGATTTTCCATGCTTCATCTCTGCCAAAACATTTTTGTTATGTTTGAGCAAAATCAACTCAGTCATTTTGAGTTATAAAAGCTTGGAGGGTAGGGGAAGGAACACTTCCTTTCCCCACTCCTGTGCATTCTGAGAATATTTTTTTTATGTTGCACTCAGTTTTTAAAAAGGCTGAATCTATTAACTTTTTGTTTGGTATATGTCACTGAGTACTAAGGTTCAAGCCAATTTTGAAAATAAATCAGTTCAGTAGTTTTATAAGTAGTATACAATGCACACATGTAAATCCTAATTTGGCTGTGAAAATATTTGTCTCATTGGTTAACCTGTATCCAACTTTTCCCCCCTCCCCCCCACAAGGTTGACGGGATATTGTGCTTGGCTGACATTCTCACAGATAGTACCCATTCTGAAGCCACTCGTGCAGAAGCAGCAGCAGTAATAGCACAAATCACATCTCCACATCTCACTTTCACTCAGCATCTCAGCAGCTTTCTGGAAAATATGGAGGAAATTGTCACAGCACTTGTCAGTAAGTAGACAGGGTTTGTTTTAAGCCTTTCTTGTTAGATTTACTGGAAAAGGAAAAAGAAACTTATGTTGAAAGACAGACTTTCCTCCATTAGCAATGTTCTCTAAGGAGTATTTGCCTTTCTTGCCACTATAACGTTCTACAGTAGAAATCTATGTGGACTAGCTCAGTTGTTTTAAATCCTGAAGTTGGAAATTTTTCAATAGTTCTAACATTCTTGACTTTTAGCCAAAGTTCAAATACAATTTATTTGTGGAAATAGTAGCCATTTGAGGCCTAAAAAGTGAGCCTGGTTATCATCTCACCTGCACTGGTGTAAATCAGGAGTAACAATACAGAAGTCAGTCGAGAGTTATCAGTGTAAAACTGGTGAAAGTGAGTGGAGAATCAAGCCCATTATCTTTTCTACAACTGTATGATACTTTATACAAAAATTACTGTATAACTTGCTGTGCTTGTGCATTAAAAAGTGGCCTTTTCATTAGGATCTCAGTCCATGCTAAGGCAAGAGGTGGAATGTAGTGGTGACAAGTACAACATAATGATGAAGACCAAAATGCATCCTTCAGTCAACAATGATATGCTACAGCACGTGACTGGGGTTTGCCTTTATCTGGGGTTAATGATAACATTCTTGTAAATTAAGGAGCTAGTATCATGGTCTGAGACATCATTCATATCTGTATTTAGTCATTGGGTAGGTAGGGGAACCTTTAGTTTTTAATGCTGTTTTCTAGCCTCTTCCAGCACAAGAGTCTGCCAAATAAGTGCTTCCTCCACTCCCTCCATATTAGTGATATAAATACTTATTCATCTTTAACAATCCATAGTTACATACACTTACAGATACCAGAATCATCAGCTAACTGCATATGTGAGTCCTGCAGAATAGATAGTCTCTGCTCTATCCCACTGAGCTCAAGCAACCAGCTAGGCTAATGGACTTTTTATCTGCTACTGAAAAGTGACAACTTTCAAGCAGGTCTGTCACATTCCATACCTGGAAGTCATTGCAACTCCTTCACAAGAGCCTGTACATCATAATCTGTCTAAGTGGCTAGAATAAAACCACATCAGAATCACTCCATATTTTTAACAACTTTGATCTGTCCACCCAGCTGCCCAGGCATTCCACATTCACAAACACAGTACAGGTGAAATGATCATTACCACTGCCCAGATGTTGTAAATACAGAACACTCACAAATCTGGAGTCAACAGTCTGATTAGTACTGAATAAAATGTTTCAACCTGTGAATATAACTATTAACCATCAACTGTTACCCTGCAGACTGTATCTTGCAATTTCCATTAATTAAAAGTAGTTCTACTGTGCCTACAGGCACCTCTGTGCTCTGATCCTCCCCTGCTGTGGCACACTATACTACACACCTCTCTTCTACCCAGCAGCCCTTTTGTAATGAGGTGGTGTTAGGCACTCTGAGGGGGGCTGCTTCTTGTGCCCAGTATGTCACCAACACCCAGTCTATTCCACCTCTAATTTACTCAATCCGAACCTGAAATGGAGTTATAGGGCAACACCCAGGGATGCTCCAATCAGAACTGTTACAAATTCAACAAAGTCCAAGATGCAAGTAAACAGTCCATCACAAATGTTGGCCTGTTGAGCAGCAGAAGCTGAAAGACACCTGTCCCTGCAGTTGGGATAATACGCCAGATGTGGAAAGTTATCCCAGATCTCAAATGTGGCAATCATACTGTCTTGTCCAATCCAGTGAGTACGAAACATACTAGACCTTATTTGATACTTTATACTGTTCAGTGTACTGTTCCAGACTGGGCCTCAACTTCGTGTCTGAAGATTAGAAGCCCATAGCACGCTTGCCCTGGAACCCGTACACTGTGTGTATGGGAGGGACAGGAAAGGAGGGGGGGATGCATGAGAGTGTGGGGACATATCTTCAAAGAACAAGATAATCCAGCTTTCTCAGCTGTCAATTTCCACTTTATACTCCATTTGTTGAGCTAACTTGCTACCCACCAAACAATGTTTAAGCCCAGCAATCGTGGCCAGCCAGGAATATGCCAAAATGAATCAGTATTCCTCTGGGCAGAGTCACTGAGGAGAAGGCTATTCCCTTGATTGCCCCACCAAATCATCAGCTGATGATGCACCAAGCCTAAGCAATATAAGCTTTAGGAATAGAATGACTCAAATTTGGGAAAGCCTTTTCACAATCCAGTCATCAATTTCCTTGTAATATTTATAGCTGAGTAATTGAGTGACTCTCTCTTTGTATTTTTAATTTTTAAAACGCACTGAAATCAAATTGCTGGGTGACTCAGACCTAGTTAAAGTAAATGTGTACAGGAATTAAAAGGCACTTAGGAGGTTATGATGATAATTGCTGTGTCTGCAGCATTTTTTAAGAGGTCTGCAAAATTTAAAAATATACAGGATAGTCTTAGAGTATAAAAAAGTTTTAGAAACAGTAAGATAAATTGCAGAATTTTATTCTCATGGATCCATTAGTTTTACCCATCTGCTGACTGCATCTTATTTTGTTTAGGAATATAATATTTATCTTGAATAACATCCAGTGGAGAAACTTAAGTGTGATAGCCTAGGTCACTAATTGAGTGAATGCTCCCAGAGACTTGTAGTCTAGATTTATCTTGCCATCTATACCTGCTTCAGTCCAGTCTGCAAAAACACAAGTGGAAATGTCTAATATTAATTTCAGAGGAATATTTAACTCATATACAAACCTTTTCATGCTGGAGGAGTAAATGATTTATTTTAATTAAATTATTTTCTGCATTTCTAGAATTGTGCCAAGAGGCCTCAACTGGTGAAGTTTTCCTTCTGGCTTCAGCGGCACTTGCCAATATTACATTTTTTGACACAATGGCTTGTGAGATGTTGCTTCACTTGAATGCACTGAAAATTCTTCTAGCAGCTTGCGCTGACAAGCAGATAGTCGATACTCCATATTCTCGAGATCAGGTGAGTGGTTTCTGAACAAAATGTTATGTTTACAGGATAGCTCAGTGGTTTGAGCATTGGCCTGCTAAACCCGGGGTTATGAGTTCAATCCTTGAGGGGGCTACTTGGGGATCTGGGGCAAAATCAGTACTTGGTCCTGCTACTGAAGGCAGGGGGCTGGACTCGATGACCTTTCAAGGTCCTTTCCAGTTCTAGGAGATGGGATATCTCCATTTATTATTATTAAAATGGCACAATAGTTTCAATTCTAATACCCAGTTCTTGATGTGTTCAAAACTTCATTTGGTCCCATATTTTCCATGCTTGGTTTCTGTCCAAATTTTTCTCTTTTTCCTCTCTCTGTGTAATTTGAACAATATTGAACAAAGTTATTTTGAACATGGCTTTATCAAAAATAGCTGAGGTTTTATATTTGAAAGCATGTATATGATCCTGACTGGGAAAAGGGGCCTTTGCTTGGTGTGAAAAACATGTGTTTTGATTTAAGAAAATTATGATTATTAGAAAATTTAATGCACAATAGAAAATCTCCATAAGCCTACAGGCCATCATTTAAACATAAATGCATAGCACATCTGTGTGCAGCTCTTTAAGGCTCAAATCCTTCAAGCACTTTTGTGCATGCTTGACTTTCTGCATGCATGTAGTCCTAATTACTCACCTACGTGAAGTTAAGCATGCATGCAAGCGTTTGCAGGATTGGGATGTAAAAGAGTTTACTAGTTCTACAGGCTGAATAAGTGCCTGATTCATATAATGGGCTTTGGATCAAGTCCTAACTGAGTAGCAAGTAGCTTAAACAAGTGAAATAGTTTTTTTTTCTTTGTCATTAAAGAAATCTAAGGAGTTAAATGCAAAGAAATGTGTTATGCATAACTAATCACAAAGAGCTCATATGTGCCCATGAATCACTGCCCTGCATTAGGGTTTTTCCAGAAGGGTACTGCTTAAGTGAGAGCTGTAGTATGAATTCAGCCTCAATTAGATAAAATACTTTTTAGAGCTCCCAATTTTAAGGGATGCACTCACTATTACTCATGTTAAGGGAGTGCAGAATTATATCCAGTTTTGAGCCTATCAGCTCTGCTAGCCAGTGTGGTAGAGGATGAGGCTCTAACCTCATCAGCTGTCTACCTTTTGTGGGCAATCTAGATACAGCAAAGGGCCAGTTCCTAAGCCCCTGTTAAGTCAGTCTCCTTCATGCCACTGCAGCAGCACAAAGGTGACTTCAACCTGGCTAAAGACAGCAGCTCAGGATTGGGATGAAATAGCCAGCCCTCTGCCCCCCAATGTTGTACTTGGGATGGGAGGGGCACAGCAGAAGCACAGTGTTCTCCAGTGACCCTGGCTGCTGGAGAGGCTCCAAAGTAGACATCAGCTGATGCAGTAAGACAAGTGATCACTGAGGCTGCTCTGACTTGCACCTGTGGCCATTTTGCCATCACCAGAAAGAATTGAGAATGGTGGTGGAAAGGTGGTGTAAAATGTAAAAAGCCATAGATGTCCCTTCCCTACTCTGGCATGCCAAGCCCTGCTCTGGTGCCTCTGAGGATCTAGGCCGTGGTGTTTGGCTTTACTGTATGCCCATTATTTACTATCTGTAATTTGTGTGCTCTCGCTCTTTCTTTCATATACTCTCTAATTATTTGTCCTATGTCTCCTCCTACCAGTGGGCACAAGTCTGCTCCCTTTGAATTCAGTGGTAAAGTCACTATTGACTTTGGGAGCCAGACTGGCCATTTCTTCATAGTAGCAGTGCGGCTGTTAAAAAATTAAATTACAATTACTGTGTTAACCAATAAACCTGTTCCTATTCTCTTGCAACTTGCTAGCTTCCATTACAGGACATGTTAACAAAGTAACAAGAAACTTTTGAATGGCTGGCCCTTGGAAAATGTGCAGGAGGTTAGACCACGTTGACCCATTTATCTTATTTGCGGTTGCAAGAAGGGCAGGGGTGCAAAGCAGCAATGCTCAAGGAGGATTGGTACATAGACTGGAAGGAGTAGGTGTCTGGGTTTTACAGTTATCCATTTGCTATGTAGCAGTAGGTTGTGTAACTGAAGATCATGCTGCTAGGACCTGTTACTATGTTGGTGCTGTTGATTTGCTGTTGAACTTATCTTAAAAAAAAAAAGCATGGAATATGATCTTTTCAGTGTTAATCACTATAGGACTGGAGGCTTTGTATTACAGTTACTTATGTTGCCTTTTGGATGTTGAGAATTTACTAGCTTCCCTCTGCCAGAATGGGATGGGAATTTAGGGTTGTTGCGATGGGAATTTAGGGCTGGTTCGCCATTCCTCTGGGGACAACCCACAAAAGGAGGGCTAAAGTGGAGAAAATTTCTGGAAGGTTCCCATGGTCCAGTTTTCATTCCAGTTGTTCTGCTAGAGAGGATGGTGTTTGTGCCCACCCTTTTCCAGACAACAGAGCCCCAAGGATCTATATGGGTTCAGGGGCATCAGTGGAAGACCCAGGCCATCTACCTAATGGCCCTGTGACACTGTATTGGCCGCTGTCCCTTGCTACATGCAGCCTTTAAGGAAGAGCTCAATCATGGCTTCTCAATAGGCATTTGTTTGACACAAGAGGTTATCTTATACTGGTGATGTTAGCAGTGTTGTAGGGAGTGGGATGTTTGTTCTGTCTATTATGGCAGTTTAATAGAATATGTTGCTTGGTTTTAATTTGTCATATGCCCAGATGCTGTGATGATGGGAATATAAACTTGTTGATGGCCAGTTTATATCCATTTGTTCTTGGGTATACATTGGCGCTTATCTTAAATAACTCCTCTCCCTCCCAGGTATTTATCCTTCAGATGTATTTATAGAGAGCAATTGCATCTCCCCTCAGCCTTCTTTTGTTTAAGCCAAACAAGCCAAACTCTTTGAGTTTCCTCTCTGAAGGTAGGTTTTCCATTCCTCAGATCATCCTAGTAGCCCTTCTTTGCACCTGTCCCAGTTTGAATTAATCTTTCTTAAACATCGGAGACCAGAACAGCACACAGTATTCCAAATGTGGTCTCACTAGTGCCTTATATAATGGTTCTAACACTTCCCTGTCTTAGAATCATAGAATATCAGGCTTGGAAGGGACCTCAGGAGGTCATCTAGTCCAACCCCCTGCTCAAAGTAGGACCAATCCCCAACTTAAAGAGTATCCAGTCATGAGCTATGCAGAAGTTGATCTATCCCACCACTCACAACAAAATTCCCTCTTTCTCTCATCCCAAAACTAGAAGCGGGGTAAAGCATTACATTAAGAAGGAGAAAGAAAACTACTGCACCTCTCCAGTAAGAACAAGAGAGATTGTATGCATTAGCGTCTACCTTTTCATTAAGAACAGTTATAAAATTGGCATTGGTGTTACTAAAATGTCATCGGTATCTGTATTAAGTATCAAGTTTCTTCATGTTCAGGGACCTCAACCTCCTCCTGTCAGAGAAAGCTGGTACTCTGCTGCATTTGTGGAATGTATGCATCATGCTGCCTTCATGAATCTTTAGCACTGTCAGATACAGGAAGGTGTAATTGAAACTTTTGTGGCTCAGGGACTCCTTTCATTCCGTACATGGGGAGAAAAATATAAAATAAAATCTGTTCCTTCTGAATTCCCACTTGTCTTGTCTCCTCAGTGATACTAGCATTCTCACCTTACCCGTGAAGTTGTGGAACTACAGTCTAACAGCTTTTGGTCTTTCGTTATCCAGGGGGACAAAGACTTAATGTGCAGTGAACCATCAATTTTAAAGCAGTTATGTTTGCATTCCTGGTTTAATACCTCAGTAAGCCGTGTTCCCCAAATATTTATGGGAAGGGGGAGGGCCTTTGACTCAGTCCTGGAGACCCATAGTTAGTTAGCTGTTTCTCCTGTTTTCCACATAATCCTGATGTTTTCCCATTTTTGCAGCTCCTTGCTGGAGACGTTGCAGGCTTTGATGAAATCATAGCCTCTCTTCCTCTAGTTTCTAGATCATCTTTTCTGCCTCCTCCACCACTCACTCAGGGCATTTATTAAGCTTTCCTGTTGTGTTGCCCTTAGGGGTAAACCCTCTCCCCCAGTAATTTTAGGGTCAAAAGTAGAGGAGAGGCAGATGTTACATTTTGATCAAGGCCTGTAGGATGAGGTTTTCAAAGGGGTCTAAGAGTTAAGTGCCTAGCTCCCAATGAAAGCCAGTAGGAGTTGAGTGCCTAACTCAATTAGGATCCCTTGAAAATCCCACCCTTTATTACTGCATCAGAAATTCTTTTTTATAATCAGAGCTTCTTGACTATCAGCTGGTTCATTCTTCCTGAAGACTCCTTATCTAGGTTCTGCTCAGTATCATCAGGTTGGTGGCTTACCAGCTTTTTCTCAAGCTACTGACCAGATGGCCTTGTACTTGGAAGCCAGCATGGGTCCATGGATATGTTTGCCTGAGAATTATTAAGAACAGGGGACTTGAGGTGGAGGAATTTGGGCAATGAAGCACTGTACCCCGTATTGGGTGTCCTTCCACTTCAGTTTGACAGGACTATGTCAAAAATTGTGCAGGGAGAACAAGATAAAATGGTGCAGGGGGAATGGAGGCCATGAAGACTTTATCTCCACCCTAAGGCTTTGGTGCTGCTGGCAGAGAAAAGGTGGGGGCAAGAAACAAAGGTCTCCCCCTGCCCTTGCTGCCTCTGATGGTGTGGTGTCTTATTGGGGTCCTAGCTGAGACAGGAGAAAAGATCCCCTGCCCTGCTGCATCACAACCACTAGTCAGTGTCTCTGCTAGAGAAGGACCAGGGGTAGGAAGGAAGAGCTCCTGCCCTACTTGGGACATCCATGTTTTAACATTTTGGGCTAAGTCACTTGCTCACGACACTCAGCCAGCTAGTAGCATAGTAAGGAACAGAAACCAGGTCTCCTAACTCTCCCAGGCTGTATTCAGTCCAGCAGACCATAGCTTCCCCCCATTCCTTTTATGATCAAAAGCAGGGAGGTGACCAAGCCTTCTGACAAAATTAA